GAGCCAAGATTATGAGTGTCGGATACCATGGCATGAAGTGCTTGTGCTTTGCAGTTCTCGGGTCGTGTAAATTTGTAATAATATGTCAATTTTGCTTGCAATAGTTACAACACTTATATTTACAAATCCGTGCAATATTACCAATTTCTTACCGCTGTAGCACTGCACAGGTCCCTTCTCTTTGGTATGAGCAGCATAAATCATATTAACTATTTCTGATGATCCACCTGTTGTACTAATAGCAGCTTGTGTCGTCAATCTTTGATCTTCGCGCAGAAATCCACCAAAACAGATATCCAAACAAGGAACCGGATGTCTGTTGAGCAACCCAGCCCGAGCTATTTCAAATTCAGGTCTGAGCTTCACTATAAACTGATCACAGTGACTTTCTTCACGAATAGCCTAAAGACTAGCTAAGTTCTCCTTTGACACCTTAGCATAGATAATGTCAGTATATTCGCTCCATAAATTTAGAAAGACAGAAAAATATTGTTCAATTGAAAGATTACCCTGACAATAATTACTCATGTCAAGTTCCAATTAAAAGCGTTTTGCAGAATTATCTTGATTGTAAACATGCTTCAAATATTCCTACATTTCTTTAGCACTATCGAAAGATCGTAAATTATTTACCATATGAGCCTCAATAGATTCCAAAATCCAGGAAACAATCCGAGCATCCTTTGTTTCTCATTGACCAAGATCTTTTGTCTCAGTAGGAGCTGGAGAAGACCCATCAATATAGCCCCAAAACTCCTTCCCTTTTAAGAACATTCTGAGCTGAAATTTCCATGCGGCATAACTTTTTCCAGTAAATCTAATAGCTAAGATTTCAGAAGACATCCAAAATAAACTTTTCGTTCACAAATTGATTAAGAAGTTCGTGGATCGAAATCAACCAAAAATCAAAGAAACCAAGATATCCAAAAAAATCAAATCATTGATCTGAATCAACCTAAGAGATTCAAAAACTGTTCACTGATTTAAATTAGAGGAGTCCGAAGCCAAATCCGAAGTCTAAGATTTTTCAGTGCGACGATCCAGGAAGTATAATGGCGTTGAAATACGCCAATTATGCCCAAACTGAAGATATAGTTGATGCTAACAAAGCAGAAGCATATGAAGTATATGAAGCGGATGAAGTGAGAAAAGTGGACAAGAAAAAACGTAGTCGAGGCAGTTGAAGCAGACGAAGAGATCGGGTGACGAGTGGATGAGCGGAGAGTTTCGCAAGACGAGCGAAGCGTTTCGCAGAACGAGTAGAGCATATGAGCGGAGCAGACGAGCGGAACGTTTCGCAAAATGAGCGGAGCAGGCAAAGCAGTCGAGCGGAGCAGACGTACCAGTTAGGGCAGTCAAACGGAGCAGATCAACGGAGCAGACGAACCAATTAGGGTAGCCAAGTAGTCCACACGAGGCAGATAATGGTTTAGGCGAACCAGACGAGCTCTCCAGGCGAAGCAGACGAGGGTTTGGATAAAGCAGACGAGGAGTCCGACGAGACCCGAAGGTTTGCAATCGAAAAAAACAAACAATTGCAACATTGAAGACTCCAAAGATTCAAACCCTAAATATTCGAAGTGGCTCTGATACCATGTCAATATTTTGAGCAAATAGGTTGAATGTTTTTTCCTTTGTTTTTATTCCAATAAATAATAGTTTGTACAATCTATTTTAGTTACATAATATTCTGTATAATCAATGTTAGGTAACTTAATTAATACATATTCTTAATCTAAATATTCAGCTAAAAGAAAAGAATCCAAGCAAATGTAATATTTTTTTTATTTGCAACATTGCTCCTGAATGATACATGCTAGGGCATTACAAACAGTACACGTTCTTGAGATTTCACCACTAACAACAACAAGATCTCTCAGCAGAAAAGTACACCATTGAGTTCGAACAGCTTATGTTGAAGTGTGAGCTAGTTAGGAGAATAGCATAGACCAATACCTTTAGGAATTGAGATCGTCCATTGACAATGTTGTACATTTGCATCATTATTGGACATTAAAGGATTTCTAGACCCTAGACTTCATGGTGAAGAGAACAAAGCACTCTCAAGTCCACATGCCTAAGGAGGAACCTATTCAGAGTGGAGAAAAGGTGGAGACCGTCAGTGCTCCCAAATCCATCCCAGCCAAAAAATGCCAGTTAGAGTGCACAAATAGGATGACGATCTCTTTCACTGAGCAAGAAGCAATTGAAGAATGGACAATAACAAGGAAGAAAATGAATATGTCAGGGAGGAGCATCAACTTCAAGCCGATAAAAGTGAGCCCAAGGAGCTTATACTAGACACATGACAGCCCCGAAAAAGTGAATTCATGATTGCCTGACCTTTTGTCGACCTCCATGATTGTCACTATTGAGGGAGGGCCAACATGTCATCACCTCATATGAAAATAAGAAATTTTCAGCTATTTGGAGAAGATTACATGGGATAAGCTGAGTATAAAGTTTCGGTTCAGTTCAATAGTACATTCTCAGGGAACAGGTCAAATATGAGTAGTGAACTATTACTTGAAAAAGCTATATAAATATTTTGTGAGAAAGAATATCTGACAGCGAAATCCAGGTCCCCCTAGAGAAGAATAATGAGCCTCTCCTAAATGGAGAGAATGATATGGGAGCTAATCCCTTAATCTCGCTTTCCGAATATCCGTGAAACTTCCCACACACATGAGAAATAAGACAATCCCAGCCCAATTAGCCTGAAGCGACTTCTCATCAGAATTTATGTCGTCAAACATTTGAAGACTTTCTTTTTTTTTTTCTATTTTGGAAGGCTAGTTAGGGTTTATTTCTAGAAGGAGACTATTTATATTTTGTTATTTCTTGATTTTTTTCAAACACTTGGATATTGTAATCTCTTCTACCTATAAAATGTAGTATCATTTCTTTTTGTAAGTGGTGTGTCTATAGCTCGTGAAGAAATACGTGGTGAATCTCCTCGCCATCCCCACAATGTCGCTTTGTGGCTTACTCCATCATTTTTAGCAAAGATAGCCGATGGTCGACGTTGACCACTGTGCAAATGTTGTTGAAACTCAAGTATTATTATCATTTTTCTCCCTATTCCACAACCACACCTCGCTAAAATCCCTTTTTAAAAGACTTCTAGGAGTCCTAGAACGGTATCACCCTATCTTATGTGTTGATGGTTCCTATTTGTTCAAAGGCACCTCCAACTATCATCTCTTCAGATACTGCAACTCTTGTTGTTCACAGCTGTCATCTCTTTGAATACTGCAACTCCTGTTGTTCACAACTATCATTCAATTGCTAAAGTGATAGGTTGATCAATGGGTTTAAGATTGCACCTCCCTTTTCGCCTAATTTTGTTTTGTATTTTAATCAAGACTACACTTGATCGTAACATTAACAACCATCTTTTTCAAGAGAAATCTTTGAGCTTGCTAGGCTGACCTCTTTGTAAATTTCATGTAAATTTTCACGAGGCAAAACCAACATGAATGTCATTCATAAAATCTTATCATATTTACACTTTCAAGCTAATTACTTAATTAGATTAATTAATTATTATCACATTATTATAAGACTATCCTTAGATGCAAACTACGCATCACTCTACTCCAAACATACATACTACGTCAATGATTTCCAAATGCATATGCTTAAATGGTCTCCTCAATTCGATGCTTATGTGAAACCACTAATCACCCCTATCAAGATTACTTTTCCGCAACTTCGACTGTATTTCTTCAACTAATCCATTCTATACTTTTTCAGATCTATCTTTCGTAAATCTTTGCAAGTAAATGTTGCTATAGCTCATCTCTACATGGCTAATACGGTTAAGGTTTTGGTTGAAATAGGCATTACATTGTGTTTGGAAAATAAGGTGTGGATCGGGTTAAAGTCCTGTGAAAGTTTTGTGATTATTGGCAGTAGGTAATTTTTTAGGACATCCCTTCATATTGTTCTTTTTGTAAATTTTTGTACATAATTTTTTTTGAATTTTTCAAAACTCATCCAAATATGAAACATTCAAACAGTCAAGCATAAGAGGCTTATAAAATGGAACATCAGCTCATCCCTTAATCATTGCTGATCCAAGATTATTACTTCAGGTCTGCTTAAAAAATATGGAACCAACAAAGTTTCTTCAGAATCATGAGCCTAACGTAAGCACTAGCCCAATGCACATGGCCTTTACATCTTGCACAAACAAAAGTATAAGTTTGAACTCCCTAATTGTAGCTACTTGCCCTCTCTCTCTATCAACGAAGAAGTAGATGATCAACATCCACTAGTTTCTAATGGAAGTAATATTAGTAATGATGTTCCACTGAGTAGAAGGTTTCAAATTCGATTTGCAGAATTAGAATAAAATCGAAATAAAATGTGCCATCATTTTCTAGCTTTCATCAGGCTTCAAGCAAGGCAATCCAATTGAAATGTTAGTCTTCTTTGTTCTTTTCATGTATGATTAGACGTTACAACCTTTCGCTTCTTGCTTTATATATTTATTACTTTGTATCTTCCTTTGTACTCTGACAACTCTTATTAAATGCTCTAATTGTACTCTCAACATTTTTCTCATATAATACTATTTATTCCTAAGAAAAGTACCTAACATTGTGAGTTCACCTCCAGTATATGTTAATGAATAAAATAAATAACGATTTTTCAAAAAGATTGCTAAAATAAGTAAATATAAATTTTAATACACTTGAAATTCATGTAATCTCATGCTACCTAAATATACCAATGATGACTCAACAACTAATACCCAAAATATTTTGTAATAATTGTCAATGTATGTGCATTAAACAAAACATGCAAAAAACAAAACGAATCAATCTGGCATATTGCAGATATTTTTTTATTCAAAATTAAATAAATCGTTTCTCAATTTACAAGTGAATAGCCTATCTATGTATGATTAAATGCTAGTTATGTTCTCATGACTAACATTTTTCTTTGAACCCCCAAATATGAAATCATCACTTTTTAAGATTCTCATTACTTACACTTTCCTTTGAATCTTCAAGTATCAAATCATCACTTTTGAGATTCTCATAATTCAGTAATGCACCCAGAGCCCCCAAAAACCCCTCGTGGCGCAAAAAAATGGCATGCATTTGACCTTTTGACCTGAGAGATTAAAGAATTTACAAGATTAGAAAACTACAAAATTTTGGAAGCATAATAAGATAATGGTAGAAGTACAATGACCTGCAAATGAATAGCAATTTGAAAAGCACAAACACTGGTGTAATATGGGAGCATTTCATAAAACTAATAGAGTTGGTATATGAAGTACCAAAAATCAATAGCATATGAAATATTGTCCATTGTGCTAGCATGTCCCCGTATGTAAGATCCTCCAAAATAAACCCTATTAAGCCTTAGAAGTGATGCTACAAGAAAAGATACCTGCATTTTATAGATCAAGACCAAGAATTACAAATAATTCAGCACACAATTTTGTCAGCAACAAATTCAAAGGAATGATAATAGACAATCAAAAAGCCCAAATATGGATCTGAACTTTATTTTTCTAAAAAAAAAGAGTTTTTACATCATTTACAAGGCTCTTAAGGCATAAAGTACAGCAGTGATTTGCTACATCAAATTGCATGCTTAAATTAATATTCATGTTCAGGCTCATCTCAAACTTGATAGGAAAAATAAATGAATCTCCGTGAACAATGAAGAACTTAATTCATTAGCAGCCCAAGTGAGTAATTGTCAAGATATATATGTATGTACTGGTTTCCAATATCTCATTCAGTAACTTGGTTCCGCTATTTTGTCTTGAAAAGTACGATTGTTTACAGTATCGGTGTGTTTGGCCCCTAATGTCTATGTGGTAGAGCAGAAAATTTGGCTTTTTATTTCATTCTTCGAGACCTTGCTACCATGGCTAAGTTGTTGCTCTATTTTCTTAACTACACAACATTTATGTCATCAAGAATTTTGGGATTTGCAATTTTTTTTATATCTATTGCAACAAAGAATAAAGGTAATTGCTGATTTTACAATGCAGCCATAATCCGACATTGAGCTACTTGGTTTCCTTTTATACTCAGGTGTTACACTATAACTTAAACTGGGAATTATTTTGAATAACCAGAAAGGGATTTCAAAGTTAGAAACTTATTCATTTGTTGAAACTAAGCTTGAAAACTTACTATTCTTGCAGGTATCCAAATGCATTTAATTGAAATCTGCAGTATTTGATCAAATTATGGTGGATTCTCATTTTTCATTGATTTTGGGCCTTTTGGACATAGATACAACCACGAGGTATGTAATTTTTTATTGAATTATTGAACTGTTTCCACTTGAACTAATGTATGTTCCTCTCAAATTAATTTAAATTTTTGGACGATAATTCTTCAAATGATTTAGAACTACTGATGGTAACTTTCGAAAAATGAGTCTCCTTGTACAAATTTGAGGGCGGATCTTCCAATTGGTGATTTCAATTTTCATTATTTCATCTAGACTGATTCAAGAGTGGTTTGCATTCAACATTAAGAATTTCTCAAACTTATAATTTGTTGGTTTTGATTTTTGTGGTGTAAATGTTAACTGTGATAGATTTTATACTTAATCAAATTTCTTTTGGAAAAATCTGAAATACAAATGGGGCTAGTTGGTTTGTTACTTTCATTAACGATCAAACCACAATCAGTTGGACATTTCTCATGGACAAAAAATCTGAAAATACCAGCATATTTGAAACCTCTCACAACATGATTCACCCAATTTCAGAGCTAGATTCTCGAAGCTGATAATGTAAAAGATTACTACAGCCCCACTTTCGAACTTTATCTATCAAAAAATAACATCATTCAAATACGCTCTTATGTTGACACTCTTCCTCCCCCCCCCCCCCCACATGTGGCTAGAAGATAGAACAAACATCTGTTCGAAATGGGCCATTCAATTCTATTAAGTAAAAATGTACCAAAATAATTGTGGGGGAGGATACAATTCTCACATCTATTTATCTCATGAATAAGATGTCCAACAAATCTCGCAGCATCCTTATAAAATCCTACCCGCACATTCAGCCCCTCAACTCTAACCTACCACAAAATTTTTGACTGCATCTCTTCAGTCCATCTACATCTAACCAAAGTTGACTCAGGTCAATCAAATGCAGCTTTGTGAGCTACTACTCAAACAAAAATAAATATAAATGCTACTCTCCAGAAAAACAAAAATTCTACAACTCCTTGAATGTCACCTACTTTAAAAACCAGCCATATTACCCCAAATATAGCATTCAGGGAGAGAGTTGGAGAGAAAATCAAACTTGAGGTACAATTCAGGAACCTCAACCTCACCTCCCTTATATCCTTGATGAACCCACTCTTGTCCACACTATCATAAATAAACCTGAAAATGAACACACTACTCTACTAAATCCTCTCACGGCTCCTACTAAGAACCAAGAACTCTTTGTGTACTCCAAAAAGAAAAAACCTAGTGAGCAATTAAGAGACCATGCAAAATTAGGAATGCAAAACATTGAAACCAACTCCACAAACCCTAAGTATTCACACAGAGACTGGGTTCAACACATCATGAGAACCAAGAGGAATAAGGAGAACAAAAACGCACAAACACCTTATAGAAGAATTTGTAACCTATCAAAAAATATCCTACTCTTACAAATCTTTTGTTCAAAATTTGGAAAATGTGCATATCTCAAATTTAATTCAACAGGACTTATTCATTCCTGCGGAAAAAGTTTGCGAAAAAAGAGATTCTCACCCTTAAAAAGAATGGTACTTGGATCATAACAACTCTGTCGCCTAGGAAAAGAACTTTATGAGGTAAATGTGTATTCAACGCTAAATACAAAGCAGAAAAAAGCATAGAAAAGTTAAAGGCAAGACTTGTAGGAAAAAAATTCACTCAATCCTATTGTATTAGCTACTAGAAGGCATTTGCATCAATGGCGAAACTCAACACAATAATACTATTACCGTCATTGGTTATCAACCAGGACTGCCATTTAGATTAACTAGTCCTTAAAAATGCATTTCTTAACGTAATCCTGAGGACATTGTGTCTATGGAGATACCACTTAGTGTGCAAACTAATGAAATAATTGTAAGAATTGAAACAATTTACTAGAGCATAATTTGAAAGGTCCATCAAGATTATTTTTGCCAATATGTATTATCAGTGTCAGGCTAATCACACTTTGTTTATAAAATCAAATCAAAAAGTTATGATAGTTATCCTTATTATATATATAGATCATATTTTCTTACAGATAATAATGTAGAACTTTAAATAATTAAAAAAAATAGCTTCTGAGTATGAAATTAAAGATCTTGGAACTTTAAGATACTTCATTAGAAAGGAAGAAATTAGATCCAAAGAAGGTATTGTCATATCCTAGAGAAAATAAATCTCTGACTTATTAAAGGAAACAAGAACACTAGGTTCAAACCAACAAATACTCCAATGGATCATAATCGATATGCATCAAAAGAAGATGATAACACTCCTGTTGAAAAAGGAATTTGTTAAAATGTCACGACCCAGCCCAGAACTTAAAATTAATTAAGACGAGAATAGCGGTCGAACAATATTAACATTTAAACAATTATACACATAATTATAAAATCTTTCAATTTATAAAAGAGACCAAAATCCACAAAAGTACAATGAAATTAAACATCAACAAATAATATAAACTGAAAACCACATCTCAAACCAGTAATGAATATTATATCAATATCTGAAGGAAACAATAAAAAGAAACTACAAATACAGTATAACTAGTACTTATCAGTTGCAGTCTTCTTCATAAAAACCAAATTCTCCCACCAAACATATAAACCAAAAACTTTTCTTCTCCTGAAAGAAAGCATTAATTTCAATTGTAAGTTTGACTTATTGAGTTATTATAATCCTTATATCTATTATATTATGATGCTTATACGATGCATGAATGAACAAATGAAATTGCGGCTTATTATTTTCTAAAACCCCGAACTTTTACTTTAATTTTATTCATTCTCATTTAACTTTAAGTATTTATCATTTTAACATCTTTATTATTCATTACCAAATTACCTTCATACTTGAAGGTAACAGAATATACCCTCAAAACGTACCCGAAGGAACTCTCAGAATTGTACCTAAATTTACCATCAAATTAAAATTTTTTTTAACGTGCACGGGGGTATCACATCTCTATCAGTATCATCTGAGGTAATCTTGTACAGGGCTGTCAAAAAAGCTCATTATTTGCGAACAGTTCATGTTCGGTTCCCCGGGGAGTTCGTGTTTTCGATAAGCAAACGAGACGAACACGAACAATTTTTTTTGTTCGATTTGTTAAACGAACCAAACACGAACAGTGATGTGTTTGTATGTGTTCGAATCGTTATTGTTCAAAATATATAATAATTTAAAATAAGTATATATAAAAAATTTATGATATTTTAAAAAAATTATATACTCTAAAAATTTATCATATTTTAAAAATTAAATTCTATAAATTATAATATATAATAAATTATTAATAATAATATATTAATATACTATATTAGAAAAATAGATATTATATATTTATATAATATAAGTTATATAATTAATATAATATACTATATATATTATAAATATATATAAACGAAAACGTAAAAACCCTAAGCCCTAACCTTGTGAACCTATCTTCGGCAGTTCAGATCGGTCTCCCCTTCCCCTCTTGCAGTCGGCTCTCCTTCTCTCAAAATCGAGCCCTTCTTCGGCAGTTCAGCCTCCCCTTCCCCTCTCAAAAACTTTCGTTTGCGGTCGGCTCTCTTTCTTCTCTCAAAATCGTGAAACCCTTTGTCTCGTCGAGAGCTGCTCTCCTTCTCTCAAAATCGTGAAACTCTTTCTCTCATCGAGAGCTTAGGATTTCTGTGTTCATTCTCAAAAAAGCGAGCCAAGTGGTAAAAAAATAAGGTCCATTTTATTTTCTTGTTTAGTCTTGAAGATCTTTACTAGTAGCTGCATCTCATTTTTTTTTTCTTTTAGTTACCACTACCTTTACAGGCCCTATTGTTATTCTTGAACATAATATGTTCTTATCCTAACAAAAAATATTTAAAAAAAATATTTCAAAGATTTTACAGTTGTTGAAAAGTTCTTATGACTTAGTATTTTTTGTTGATTGCATATAAATATTACTCTTTGCCTTTTCATCTTTATTTTTTTTATTTATATGATTATATTGTCTGTGATAAGTGGTATTCTTTGGGCTAGGTATCATCTGAATCATTAATCAAGGAATCATATATAGTAGTTGATGGATTAGTTATTTTTATTAGGAAGCTTTTACAAGATTAAACATCGCTGCATCTCATTATCATTAGGAATTAAACATGGCTTAGTTATCGCTGCATCTCAGTACAAGATTAAAC